ACCTAATGGAACCTAGGCTACGACGGCAGTAATAACTGTCCCTTTATAACAATTTATAATAGTAATCTCTTTAATATGTGTATACAATAAAGCCGTCTGTACAATCACGTTATAGAAGAACAAAACAAAATACACGTGTCCCTTTCTTTCAGTATATAAGTATATCGTATCTTCTCTTTATAATGTGATGAATACAAGCCAATGCACCAATGTTAATAAAATAAAGTGAAATTTAAATCACTCCAAACGCTTATTAACCAAAACGTTCTCTTTATAATAAATTGTAATATAAGCGATTCTGCCTCTTTATAATAATTTGTAATTTTGTAAGTCTTCACTCTTTATAATGTGTTTAATATTCAACGAATTCACTTCCACAAATCTCTTTATAATGTGTTTAATAAACGAGAATATGTGCGAGAAAAAAAAAATATACGTCCGTCCTCTTTATAAGTTTTGGCACGAGGCCTTACCTCTTTATAATGTGTTTAATATAAGCGAAAGGTACTCAGAAATATTTCTAAGTTTTATATTAATTATTATTATATATTATTATTATTATATTATTATTATCATAAGGCTATTGATAAGTAAAGTATCAAACACGTCACGATGAAAACGATGTCTAAACAATATATACAAATAAATTTCATTACTCGCTACTTCATAATTGGCAAAGCATCACAGCGCAAAGAAAAATACTACTCGTCACTAGTAAGAAAACTCAAGAAAAATGATCAGAAGGAAGGAAAAACAGTATAATTCGATAAAAAACAAGAAAACGGGTATTTCATCTTCACTATCGTGGGGGAATAAAGTATCTCATTGGATCTCCTGGTACTGGTCAAAACTGACACATGATACTCACGAAGACGCACTAGGACTGTCTTTATACACTCTCGCCAGTGGAAAACAAAACGCCCATTCTTCCTGTTCGTTTCGAGACACGACAGAAGCATTTTTCTTTGAGCATACCACGACGCGTTTCGACCGATGCTCAACGATCTCATCAGGTGGTCCTAATACTCTTCGGTTCAGATGTTTAGAACTCGAAGGTCTTACTTTTCTGCTCTGATCAATAGATCTGAACTCGAAAAGTAACTTACTGAGAAGGATATGATGCTATTTATACACAAATATATATACATGTCGAGGTACTATTTTTTGATATATCAGTGGTTAGACTGTATATTTAAAGAAAAATAGCAGCCATCGACTGACGTGATTTTTCTTTATCAGTACACTCGGTCCTTGTATTATTTTCATTTTTTATATTTTTGCATCAAATATTCCTCTTCTCAGGAAAATGATCGTCATGTCTCTTGTAGTAATGTCAGGCTTATATTACAAATTATTATAAAGAGATACCCTGAAGAGCTTTTATTTTAATAAAAGTGAAACCGGTCGGTAATCAATTTTTAGAATCAAACAAACACTCAATTCTCCCTTGCATGTCATTGGTGCTTTTACAGCCAGTCTCTTTCTAGAAGATTAGGTGTGTTGTAAATACGACCTCCTCCTCTTTTATTTTTTCGAAGTGGTCGAACATTCGTCAATTCGGCATACAAGCAGAATTTGACATTTCGACCCTCAATCGGTCATCCGTCGGCACGTTCAGTGCCACTAAAGCACTTACATGGGGGGCAACTACCCGATCATGCACCAGAACGTCCGACAGCGAGTCCTCTAATGCAAGGACCCCAGACCGTGTCAGTGTCGAGTCTTTCTCGGCCGATTCCACGGAAGAAGGGATGTTTCTGGATCGATCACCAGACAACGGAGTCAGCGATCTCGACGAACTGGCCGCACAACTGGACCTCGACCTCGTTGAAGACTGAAATGTCTTCTTTTATCGTGTCGTTTTGTCTGTTTTCTGTTTTTGTTGTGTTCGTTTTGTCTGTTTTCTGTTTTTTCGTTGTTTTTTTTTTGTTTTTTTTTATATATATTTTTTTTTTTACGTGTTTGTTTGTGTTTTCTAGATACCCTGAAGAGCTTTTATTTTAATAAAAGTGAAACCGGTCGGTAATCAATTTTTAGAATCAAACAAACACTCAATTCTCCCTTGCGTGTCATTAGTGCTTTTACAGTCTCTTTCTAGAAGATTAGGTGTGTTGTAAATACGACCTCCTCCTCTTTTATTTTTTCGGCATTAGTAAAAGAAAATGGAACGGTCGAAAAACTATCTTAAAGCTACTATCTGTTTTAAAAAAACTCGAAAGGTTAAATTTCAACTGCTCTTCAATCTGGTTTTCTTACGAGTGGTTCAAGACTCGGAGGTGACGGCGGCGGTAATAACAGCAATGAGAACGGGAACAACAATGGTGAAGGCGCTAATAACAATAATGATGGAGGTAACGGTGCCAATCAAGACAGATTAGCAGGACTTGTACAGCGTTTGTTAGAGAAGTATCCGAATCGACGATACTACGCAAAACCGGTCGATTATCCAATCACACGTAATATAGGTGGTAAACCAATCAATCCACTTTTACCGGACGATGGTACACCACGAACTGATAGCGAGACTCCGGACGTTGACAATGTTGTCAATCGACACAACGAACTCGTTGAAGGTGGTAATCAATTCAGAGGATTCAGAGAATGTCCACCAACCAGTGCTGCGCCATCGAATCAACCATCAACGAACAATATTGCCGGTGGTGCAGCAGGAGCAGGTCCAGCTGAGGAAAATAATTGGAGTGGAATGTACACTTCACCACCGCCCGACATCGCCAAATGGTACATTGACGATAATCATGAACGTTCAGGTACTATCAGTCGTGTTTATGAGCCTGAAGATGCTGCCAAACTCTATCACACAAATATCGGACTGGAAACAGGACAAGGAGAAGGAGCACTGAGAGCAGTTAAAGAGTATTCAGATAGTAAATACATCTTCAGTGGTCCTCAAGAGTCGAAGAAACTTGATTTATTCACTCGTTAAACAGTTATTTCACCTGCTATGCGGCGAAATGAAATGTTAGTAGCTGGAACCATGAAGTTTGAATCTTCGGCCCACGAGTATGGTCGTTGAACGCGCAAGTTCAAGGAATATCATAAGCGCGAACTCAAATGCTCAGAGATGGTTCCCAATTACATCGTTGGTATTAAAACTGCGGACGATTGCGCAAGGGATGGTGGTCGTGAACGAACGTCTCACTCACGTTTTCCAAGGCCGACCACCACATATTTCTGACAGCGGTCCAGCGAAAAAGAAAGAATTGAGTGAAGATGATAAATTATTGTTGAAATAATGCAGAAAATTAGGATTCGAAATTCCTTCCGATGAACTGGATGGATTCAAGACGAACCTGAGAAGTGATGAAGAATACGAAAGTGAAGAAGATGCACAGAATCGAGCCAGACAAAGCAGTTCAGATGAGACCGCTGGTGGAAGCAATGGAGAACGGAAAGAACAAGAAGCAAGTGAAAACAACCCACCAGAACCATGTAAAAATCATCCTAGTAACGTTCGCTATGTGAAATGCATGCGCGGCTCATCCGGACCGCACATTCGCAATCTCAATGGTCATATATATGGCTTCAAGTTCAACAAATGACATTTCACATATCTTTTTCTGTTTCATTTTTGGCGCAACTAATGTTTGTTTTAAAACCTTTAGTGGTTTTCTGACTGACCATGCTCGACATAAAAAGCATCTGGGCTCGAGAAAAATCCAGCTTTTGTGATTAAGGTGTTCAAATGGTTAGTAACACAGTAAAATGACTATAACTCCGGAAATAAAAGATATTTTCACAATCGGCTTTCGCCGTTAAATTCAGCAGACTTTTTCTACATGACAATATTAATTAGTGCCGCTCTTTATAGATTATTGTTGAAAAACATTTGACGAAGGACCCCAAAATCATATAAGAGGAGAAGCGCTGTGCATAGTATTTCTGATATAACACACGAACAATACTTCCCGCAGGTTCTATATTTGCTAAAAGTATAGTATAGTAGTATAAGCAATAATTTAAACATATTCTTAACAGGAAATATTTTGTCCAAATATAGACTATAGATTTATCTACCTTTAACTGCGTTTCGAAAAACTCTTCAGTTTCAAAACAATCGGAATTTGTTTCGTTTTCGTTCTTTTAGCTTTTCGAATGTATACTTTTCAGATTCAGCATAAAAAATAGAGTATGAGAATGATGATTGATCGAGGTTCAAGTCAGAGGTTTATCCATATGGATGTCTTGGACTCCCAGTGTACTTGGACTCCCCAAACAATTTTGCAAACCTTTTAACACCATGGGAATGGATGTATCGAAAACATCAACCATTTGGCGCATGTCTCACTTTTGTGCATTTTTATTGGAAGATCTTACACAGTCAATATTTTTAACTGAGCGGGGAAAGGACCTTAGATTCGGTACATTATCTGAGACGAAAGACATTTCATAACTGCTAATAAGAAAGATAGTTCAGTTTTGTGACAGAAAAAACACAGGACGATTTAACTCTCTCTTTCTTGGTCTCAAATTGCTGTGTACTTACTTCGTACTTACTTAAAGGTGCAAATTATTTAACTTTTTATCCTTTTTAATGACAAATCAATAACGCAGGTTAAAACATGCAAAAAACAATGTCTGCTTTATATACAGACACGTCCAGTCTATTTCTATATTTTCACATTGAAAGAACGAAATCAAAATTTCGAATGTCATTGGTCAAAGCAGATCGAAAAGACAAGACAGAAAAGTTTGGCTCAAGAAAGTCAAGCGCATGAGATATTCAAGCGCTTGAGATAAGAATCTCATGCGCATGAGTTTCTTGAGATATGAAACTCAAGCACATGAGTCAAGAAAGTCACGCGCATGACATCCGAAAAAATGCGTTTTGCATGAGTAAGAAATATCTTCACGCCATGAGATTCTTACTCAAGAAATTCAAGTCATGTGCTTGAGAAAAAAAGCTTCACTAGGGTATATTATAGATTACCCCAAGTATACACAGATTTGAACCACACAAGTATTTTTATGTCGTTGTTATGTCAACGACAAAGTGGTTGACACACCCTATATTCAGCATTCGGAAGGTGTCGATTAAGAGTCAAAATGAAACTGTTAGCACGTCCTAAAATCTTTTATTAGATCTTAAATTGAACATAACTAACATATCGAGAGAGTGACAAAGACAGATTTCCTTACTTTGCTCTAAAACGTTTTGACAGGTCTTACAAATCAAAAATTCAAAAACTGCTTCTGGAATTTTTCCCAAGTTTTTCACTAAAATACTCGATGTAAGTTTACCAAGCAAAATATCATTTTCTCTGGACTGTAAGTCTTTTCAAAAATACTTAGAAAGCTCCGAGGTGAAGAAAATCAACGCATATTCCGATATTGAATACATTGAGATATCTGACCATAAGCTTAGTTCAATACGGAATCTTTAGAAAAATTTTGGATTTCGGATAGAGAAGAGGACATTAACTAATTCGAATTATTTCAAGTGTAATATAAAAATTAATCTTGATTGCGCCATATTGTCATAAGACGAATAGGACATTGTATATCAAATTTTTGCGTTAAAACTGGATTTTCCTTTAACCATGTAGTGTACTGATGTTGGTTAACCTTAACACAAAAGGTTATATCATTATAAACTAAGTGCTTCATCTTTACCAGTATGATCGATAAACAAGCACATAAATGATCATCAAATGAGTAGTAAACGAATGAAAGAAATTTTACATTAGAAAATACCCGACAAAGAGTTTCTATATTACATGATTCTATAAGATGAAGACGTTTTAAAGTTAACTTTCGAATAACTTTGCTAAGGTATACGCACAGTGTTTCGTCGCTAAATATAATTGATTGCATCTCAAAGTGATTAAAATATAGTGTTAATGTATCAGTCTTTTGCGCATTTTGTAATAATTTTAATAGGACTTGGGACGTTGAGTGAGGTGGACGACCACCTAGATGTACTAGTAATATTAAATGCTCCACTTTTCTGTACGAAAAATAGTTCCAATGTGACATAAAGTCTATTAGCCCATCGTTAATATTCAACACTAGAGTCTTAACATTGTCAAATACACGAACTGTACGCTCTTTCCACACATTCCCATAAATTAACGCTGTAATATTATTATAATCAATTGAAGGACGTATTGATATTGTTTTCGAATTATTTATTACCCTAAAGTCTGATTTCAAACACGGTAAAGTATAGGCAATAAATTCTTGTTCATCATTATATTCGAATACGATATTTGCATTTCTTGTTTTTAACCAATAACCATTTGTAAATGTTGACAATAATATTTCTTTATTATTGGAAAGAATATTTGAACCACTATACTGTATATGAATAAAAAACTCAAACTTTTCTAATGATGAACTGACATGTTCCAAACGCTTACTGTTTACGTATTCTACAACAAAAGAAAAAATTTCGAAGACATACATATTATGATCTGTGGTTAACTGTTTACGTGTATATTAGCTAAGATCAAAGAACGAGATTTTTGGAACTGTCGGAACATATGAGTAAACGCAGTAAGATACATCACTAAACTGAGCTTTTCATGGTGATTTCAGATATGTTGTTAGATTTTTGAAAAATGTGAAGTTTGTTGAGGAATATTCCGAATACCGGTCGATTTTATTCTAAAAGGATCTTGCGACGATTCAAATTTTCTTTGTGAAACAAATGCCTAAACTTTTGAATGTACTTTGCTGTTTTATTAACTGTGCTCCTTCCCACGATAGCCTCCGTAATCTAAATCAGATCCTGTCAGTTAAGAATTTTCTCCTTCGAAAGAACTTGAGATCTGGGCATTTATCCGTCAGATATGTATGACAAAAGAAACATGCTCCCAGAGTTCTATCTATAAAGATCATCTCTTATTAGAAGATCATTGCCGATTATGTGACATAAAAGCCGAATAGAAGGCAATAGTCTTCTCATTTTTATTGTTAGTAAGAAACCAAGATTAATGTTATTAATTAGTCTAGCTCATGTTTGAACACTCTGCAGGGGCTGCTTTTCAATGTATAATAGTGGATTTTGCAGAGAATTGTCTGCTTACAATATCCTAGAACCCCTTTTAGTCTCATTAAGTTTGAGTGGTTTACGTTCCGTCTTAATGAAAAACGTGCTTGCTAAGTTTCAAAAATTTATTCAAGTTGTTTCCACTTTCAGTTTTGAAGTCTAAGAACTGAAAAGTAGCACTTTTAGTTGTTGTTTTTCGCTCGTTTGACTCATATGGCCGGAATAACCTCGTAACAAGGGCAGAATTAAAGCTTCAAAGTATAGAAATCGGATTGCCCATAGAAAAGAATGGCTATCACAAAATAATGGTTAGTCTCTGTTGCAATTTATGCGAAAAGTCATTACCAATCGCGCCTCATGCAAGTATTCCAAAATTAACTTCTTCATGGATAAACGAAACATTGTGATAACCACTTTTTTTCTATAGACAATCCGATTTCTATACTTTGAGGCTTTAATTCTGCTCTTCTCACGAGGTCATTCCGGCCATATGAATATATATCTCATTCAGAACAAAGAATCTTGAGACGCACAAAAGTAAAATAAGAAAATATGTGAAATTTCTGCGCTCTTCTTGAAAAAATTTATAACGCATCAATCAAACATTACTCACGGAGAATCGAACAGACAGTTATATTGAAAAATAAAGTTTCAGCATATTATGTACTTTTCCACGTATGCTCGATGGGCTTACAAATTGTCCCTTAAACACTTTTAATAATTATCTTACCATTAAGTATCATTGTTGATTGTTGTATTTTAATTATCCAAAGAAGTGATAGTCGTTTCAAACGGACAAAGAATGACGTGATTAACTGTTCAACATAGTCAAAACCGACATTAATTGTATGAAGATTTAAAGTTAAACAAGACAGATGAGAAAAGAGTTGAGATAGACGAATGTTTGTATTCAATGTCATTGCCTCTCCCAAAAGAGATAAATTCATCGTTAAGCACTTTAAATTTGGTACACAACAGAAAAATGAAGATAAATCGTCTATAATACATGAACCAATAGTCAAATATTCTAAACTAACTCTTTTAATCTGAGAATATGACAATAGTAAAAACGTTGTAAATAAACCATTTTGTATTTCACTCAACAGTAATAAAGCTGTTTTTAATGAAAGAAAGTTATACCTGCAAAATATTATTTCAGATATTCGTTTTCGATCGTTTCTAGAAAATATTTCTCTTGTTTAGTAACTGACAAATAAGATAAGTGTGCTAAGTCAGATAATTTTATCAAAATATTTTCTAATAAATAAAATGATATTTCAGTTAATGTTAATGACGTTAGGTTAATCATACTTTTTATATCAAATAAAACAATAAATCTTTCAATTTGATTTTTAATTTGTCGATTTGATAATATTATAGAATAAACTTTTTTGGACGCGATATTTGTTGAAATTGTATCACAAAACTGTCTAAAAAATGATTGCTTCCATATTAGTTCGTCGATGGAAAAGTTAAGATGTATTTTTATGTCATATATTATCGAATTCATTCTCAAATTTAAATTCAAAAACGTTTCAAGTAAATCAATTAGTCTTATGCGTTTAAAAATAGTAATTAATATCTCGTCCGGAATGTCTTCCAATAAAGTAATAGCCATACTATTGTTTATAATAAGTGTATCGTGCACACTAATCAAAGTTAATATGATAGTCCTGGACTAGTCGTGTTCGTCATTCGACCCAAAAAGAAGATAGCAAATGAAAATACAGATACAGAGTGAAAAAATCCTCATCGTCTGATCTTTTTTCAACTACTTCTTCTCTCTTTTCGTTCGTGCGCAAACTTATTATTCTAATCGTGATGCATCATTTTATGTTATATACTCAGTTTGAATATTGCCTACTCAAGTGTTACATTTTTTTTATATATAAAGTAATGAACAACTTATAGTCTAGACGTAACACTATGTAGCAGCAGAAACAGTGTTTTGCTTCACTAGTTTATATATAAAAGTGTAACACTTGAGGCAATATTCATTATACAAAAACAGCGTCGACTACGCTGACATGAGAGAAAAAGTTAAAATAAAATCATAAAAGGACGGGGGAGGATAAGGTAGTATCGAGCACCCCAATAAAACTCAATGAAACTTACATATTCGGAATCAGCGTAAAATTCTGAGTATTTTAGCCGTCTCACTTTTTCCAAACATCGCATTTTGATTAAATTTTTCGATAAAAACCAAAATGCGCTTTTTGGAAAAGTGAGACGGCTAAAATATTCAGAATTTTACGCTGATTCCGAATATGAAAGTTTGATTGAGTTTTATTGGGGTGCTCAATACTACCTTATCCTCCCCTGTCCTTTTATAATTTCATTTTAATTTTTTCTCTCATGTCAGCGTAGTCGACGCTGTTTTTGTCTAATTCTCTCATTCGCGCTTTTTTTTACAACCAATATGAAATAGAGAATTTTGGCAAAAACTGCGTCGACTGCGCTAACATAAGAGAAAAAGTTAAAATGAAATTATAAAATTTATGCTATCTGTATATTTCTTCAGTTTCATGCAGAGAACTAAAATTTCTCGTTATTCACTCCAGCACGGAAAATACAATACGTGTGTAATGAAATTCCACCGTTATTACTGATTTAGGAAGAAAAAATTTTATCTTCATTCATGGGATGATTCATGCTCAAGTGAGGAAACATTAAACTAATGTTCAGACAGCTCAAACGTTCTTCTGCAACTTTACTGTGTAACTGTTTTTGACGAAAAAAACTAGAGAACACTGATTTCGTAACGGTTTCTACATTTCTTCTAAGACCTCTTTCTACAGATTCGAATTAAGCTTGATTTTTTCTCATATCCGCCTGGAAATACTCCACAAAACCGTACCTAAACTTTAATTTTAGAATGTCAATCAAGAAAACTACGCAGATTATACGAAAGAAGAAAACATGAAAAATTTGAAAATCTGATTTATTTTTCCACCTGCACCGTTTTCTTCTGCTATTATTTCCGCAAAGAAGCCTTGCAAAAGTGGGAACTTAATTCTTTTTGTACTTTTGAATGTGCTCTTTCTCATGGTCTGTAAAAAAAAGAAGAGTTAGGTGAAGAAGCATGGGATGCAGTCTATGAGAATGTGATACGTGGGTACATTAACAATATTCGAAATATTTGTCAGCAAATAATCACAAGTCTAGGTTGGCAAAGTACAGAATGATAGTGAATTTCACGTGCTATCAGTTACTTTTGTAATGACTTATATCTTTAGTCAAAATAAATTTGAAAAAATAAATAAAAATGCAGTTCGAAGGACTTCTACAAACTTCCGCCATCAAGTTGAACGTTAGCTACATGTACATCTGGGACAAGTCTAATTTATCTACGCGTATTGTCATCATTTTTTGATTAGGAACAATTTTTGAAAGTCAAGAGTGTTGGAAACTGAGAAGGGAAACATTTCTGGTCATTTTCACTCAAAATCATATTGAGCCATTTTCTAGCAAAAACCGTTTAACGTCCGTTATAAGGTATGCATAGAGTGGAGTGAAAGTAAAACTTTTTTTATTGAGGATAATCAGAGCTTTCCCTATCAACACATCCTTAATTTGAATAAAATGAAAATCAGCTATTTTAAGAAATTTTTTTAAGCTAAAATAAAAATTAAGTTTTTAATTAATATTACAAATATGATAGCTGAAAAAAGCTAACCATAAATAAATTATAAAAAAAATAAAATATCAAGGGCTTTGTCTATCGAGAATTGAGGACATAAACGTATATGAGTGAATTGCAACGACATTGTACTGTTAGTGTTCTGCGCTGTTCTGTGTGTAAAGTCCGTTCTACTTAATGAATTTTCAACTTCTTTTAATATTTTTACTCCTCAGTATTTGTATCTATACTTCTAAGCAAATGAACTCTCTACTACTTAAGAAAATCGTGATATTCTTCAAACAAAGTGTAAAATTCATGTTTTTTCACCTAATTCGTCAGAAAAAGGTAGTTTCTTTTTCAACCAAATTAAATAGAAATGGAAGAAGTCTTTACCAAATTCGTAGTAGAATTATTGGGCTATTCAAATATGTACTTGGTATTGAAATTAAACGAAATTATGTCGACGAAATACTAAAAATAACATGGACATAAACGTTGATTTATCTCAGTAACTTTTTATGCTAAAAAGGTCGGTCTTGAGTGAAAAGATCGATGTCTAAGCATGACAATTTGGTAAATTTGGTCAGAAATTCTCTCTAGTTTTACGTCACGATTTTCACACAATTTGTGCACTGACATTTTCACTTTTGTTTCTCTCATAATTCCTGCAAAATAAATCCGTTTGCTTTGAAACTTTTATCCTTTTTCAACATTCAGAAGTTACACATGGCATAAATAAATAAGCACAAAATCTCTTACCGTTCCTGAGAAATTCAAAAATTACGACGAAATGTGCACTGTCGTTTTTCGACATATTTCCATGAAAACTTGATCAAATTTAGATTTATTATTTACCAGTCGACTCGTCTTTCTAAGCTGCCGACGCATTTCCACCTGTGTTCTTTTCGAATTTTCACGTGGAAGAATTAGTGACATTTTCACCAAAACATGAAAATCAACGAAAAACTTCGAACACATATCATTCGATTCGATTTTCGATGCTAACTCCGAATTTGATATTTTTATTGCATACAAAATGAGTTCTGATGGAGAAAGTAGAGAACTACGGGCAGAATTCCACTTTTTTCGCTTCTGATTCAGAAAAAATGTACTTTCTCAGGAATGAAACAAATTTTTGAAAAACGGCGAGCGTAACTTTGTAGCCCATCGAACGGCGGTTCGAATGGTATATAATAGTATGGGTTTACTGTTGAAACCAGGGAGGAGATACATTTGTCAGATCGAGGGGTCAATCG